GGCGCAGGCCGATCCGATCCGACCGACTTCGCGATTCGATGCCGCGAGGGTCAGCACGAACCAAGGGGGAGGAGGAGGAGGAGGAGGAGGAGGAGGAGGAGGAGGAGGAGGAGGAGGAGGAGGAGGCGGAGGAGGGGAAGGGCACGGGGAGGAAGGCGGAGGAGGAGGAGGAGGAGGAGGAGGAGGAGGAGGAGCTGCTCCACACTGCTGCGGCCCCCCAGCGCGCACCTGCCCTCGCGCCGACGGCCCGCTGCGCCTTGGGTCACCGCCGCACGCAGCTGGCCGTCGGCCCCGCCGCCAGATTCCTCCACGCCTGGAGCGCTCCAAGCACCGTCGACGAGGAGGAGGAGGGGGAGGACGAGGAGGAGGGGAGAGGGCATGAGGAGGAGAAGGCGGAGGAGGAGGAGGAGGAGGAGTTTTCCGCGGAGGAGGAGGAGGAGGAGGAGGAGGCGGAGGAGGAGAAGGCGGAGGAGGAGGAGGAGGAGGAGTTTTCCGCGAGTCTCGCCGTCGGCGGAAGACGGGCGGAGGCCAGCGAAAGCAGAGCAGCAGCAGCTCCGCTGGCAGAGTGTCGGCGGAAGGCGGCGGAGGTGAACAAGTGTCGGGAGGGGAAGAAACACACAGACACAATTAATCGTCGACTCCCAGGAAAATATAGCAAAACATGAGAGAAGTGGTGGGGAAGACGAAAACCCAGAAGATATTTGAAAGTATAAGGCATCCTGGGATGTGTGTGTATTTTGTGTGTGTGTTCCTGGGCCCCTTGAAAGTTTAACGTCAACAGTCTTGGATCCTCGAACCTCGGGGGCCTCGGGCTTGAGCAGGTCGACGCTCCACCTGCTCGCGCGCCCCATCGGGCAGGGCGTACACCCCGCCGAGGGTCGAGGATGCAAGGGTCGGGGCTCGAGCTGCGAGGATCGAGGCTCGAGGTGCGAGGGTCGAGGATCGATGACCGAGGATCGAGGTTCGAGGATCGAGGTTCGAGGATCTCGAGGTTTTCGGGGGTCGGCCACTCAGGGTTCGTTGCACATGGTCCGTTTCGTTTGCGCGCATGCGGCCCCGCTCGAGTACCGTCTGAGCAGAAGAGATGAAGGGCGCGGACGCCGTTACCCTTTACCCCCCCCCCCCACCCACCAGAAAAAAAAAACCTTCTGGAATCGGACCGTGTTGCCGCTGCCAGGATCTATGGCGGCCTCCCGCGTAGGGAGGCGTTGGGGAAAGCAGCTGCGTGCGGCTGACGTCGAGAAGGAGGAGGCGGAGAAGGAGGAGAGAGAGGAGGAGGACCGATGCGAGGAGGAGGAGGGGGAGGAGGAAGGAGGAGGAGAAAGAGGTGGAAACGAGAAGGAAGACTGGGCGGAAGAGGAGAAGGAAGAGTTCCATGCTGTGCAGTGAAGGGGTGCCTTGGGCTGGGAAGAAGTGGGCCTCGAATGGCCATCCGCTGAGACTCCCCTCGCTGCAGTCAACCCGCTTAGCAAGAATGTACAACCTTCCCAAGGGTACCCTTTGCATCCTTGCCCCTTCGGCTGAGCCTTGGCGACTCTCGCTGGCCAACTTGTTCGAAAACCGCTAACTTGGCCCTCCAAGGCCCTTGCACCCCTACCGCGCATCCTTATTACTCCAGATTTCGTAATAAAGGGAGGGGGGTCTCATTTCGGGGGGGTCTCTTCCAGGCTATCTTGGAGGGCCTGAGGGGTCTGGGGACGATGTTTTGGAGGGTTCTCCCACGGGGGAGGTCTGAAATGGCTTGTCTTGGAGGGTCCAGGCCCCCTCCCTTTTATTACGAAACCTGGAGTATACGGTTTGACTGTATGCCACACCCCTGTCGTCCGCCCCTGCCTGCGTGCCCCCAGGGTCCGGCGGATCGGGGTTCCCTCGTCGAGGGCCGAGGGCCGAGGTCTTGGAGCGTCTCGGGCCTCCGGGGGCCAGCGAAGACCCTCGGGGAGGAGGACGAGGAGGAGCACAGTCAGCCCACATAGCAAGGATCGGCAGCTGTCCCAGGGGTACCTCCGCTGGTCAACCTCGCTCGAAAAACGTTCACGTGGGACTCCAAAGCCCTTGCATCCTTACCGCGCATCCTTATGATACGGGTTGACTGTAGGAGGAACCAGCCACCGCGACGAGCACCGCCAGTGGATAGTCGATTTTGTGCTGAGGCGTTGTCTTCGCACTGCGCGAGCTTGCATTCATCATGCGTGTGCATGTACGTGGGCATCTGGCCCAGCATGCTCTGGCCATACGGTAGAAGTAATGAACGCAAATAGTGAGCGCATACATAGAGTATGAAGCGACGCGATGGCGCACATGGGACATCGAACCCGATGTTGGCATGTGCAGCATACAGCTGCATCCCCTACAGTAATAACAAATGGCATGAACCATCATTGACGCTTTTGAAGCTGAATGGTAAGCAAGGTGCGCCTGCAGTACGCATCCAACTTATATCATGCGCAGTGCGGCTCGCGAGATCAAGAGCGTGTAATGAGTACGGGTTTGCAAGGTTATTATTCGTTGCGAGCCCCCCCACCACCACATCCCACAGCTCTCCTCCTCGGTGGCTCCTCCGCGTTCGTGGCTTCGCAGGAACAGCTCCCTTTCATACGTTCTATCTACGCAGGAAGGGATCCGAGAAATGTGTTCACTCGCGATCGTTTGGAGAACGGGTGGCATCTGCCCTGCAAGTTGCGGAAGGAGAGGCAGGGCGAGGAGGAGGAGAAGCACCATCATAAGAAGCCGCATGTGGAAGAGGAGGGAGCGGAGTAGCAGACGTCAGAGTGGCAATGACCCCGCATAGGTTGGGGTGAGTTCAAGCCTCGCGAAGCGAGCACTCAAGGGTCAAGACAGGCATCTGCCTGGTAGTACGCACTGACGCTCCATGACAACAATCCTCCTCCGCCTCTGCTCTGTGACCAGATGCCTCGCTTCATGCTCGAGGAATGTTCCATCGCACCCGCTTGTATCAGAGCGGCGCATGCGTTTTTTCATAGCGAAGATTGCGATACCCACCTCCTCACCAGCCAACAAAAATATCGAGCATACCGGCGAAACCAACCCGCGGACGTTCGCAATAGGCGACACGGTTTCGGTTCGGGTTTCGCCCCCCCGCGATTGTTTGATTTTTACAGACAGCAGTATAGGGTTCGAATGGGGGGGGTGAAACGCCCGCGCGAGGCATCTCCCTTTCTCCGCCTCAGCATCAGCATCATCATCATCATCACCATCATCATGTTTTTCGTCGTACTCACGAGGAGTGACAGGAGGCGGAGGAAATGAGGAAGAGGAGGGGGTTAGGAGGACGAACAGGAGGGAAAGGAGTGAGGAGCAAGGGGAGGTGAGGGATGGCACTGGGAAACCAAAACAAGCACAAGGAGCAGTAAACACAAGCCAAAGAAATTGAAGTCCGAACGGCAGAACTGGTAGGAAAACCGCCGGAATTACAAAAAACACTTCTTACTACAACGTACAGTGTCCAATGTTTCCCCTACTACAACGTATACCACATGTCTTAAGTCAGGTCCTACTACAGTTCCTTGTCACAGTCACAAGTACAGCCCCAGTTACAGCTCCCATTGCAGGCAGCAGCCAAGGCATCACTGCAGCTACGACTACTGCGCCCCACTACAGCTCTTAAGCAGTCCGTTCTGCAGCTGCCTTGTAGCAAGGAGCACAGTCCCCTCACAACCCCTCCTTCTATAGCTCTTTCTACAGCTCCGACTCGAACTCCTACAGCAGCTTCCCACACAGGTCCTTCAACAGTTCTTGCTACAGCCACGCGCATGGTTCTCACTTCCAATTTTGATACAGGTCCTACGACCGCTACTGGCACAAATCCAATCCCATATCATAGTGCAGGACGCGCTGTACTTCTCAATGGAGGCAGCCGTTCTCCGACCGACGTGCCGATTACACATCCAAGTGCAAACGATCGTACATACCCCAACCCAATGCCCGAGGCATGTCCCACGACAGCCCTTACTAGAGTCCCCAGCGCAGCTCCCACTACAACGAGCCCTACAGTTGTTTTGCGCTAGCCCTTGCTGCAATTCACGCTGCACAACATCAAGATATAGCTCCTAGTACAATCCATTGGCACAGCCACGAACCCATACCCCGTTGCACCGTTACGCCCTATATTACAACCAGTCCCAGCCATACAGTTCCCACTGCAGCTCGTACGACTGTCCCCCCCCCCTCCCCCGTTTCCCCCCCCCCCCTTCCCCCCCATTGCAGCTCCTACACAAGGCCGTACTGCACGACAGCTCTTACTACAGCCAGCGCTACAACTTTCGCAGCTGTTCTCCGACAGCTCTCATCGCAACTCCGATTGCAATTCCCACAACGGCCCATCCCACAGCTCGTACTGCAGCCACGGAATAACAGCTCCGACTAGAGCCATTAAAACAGCCCTCGTTACAACTCGTTCTGTAATGTCTGGCACAGTTGATGCTACAATCGTATTACATGCGCCAGTGCAGGTACTGTTGCATATCCGACCACGGCCAATACCATAGCGTTCAGGGCTGTGCTTACCCAAGCCCCCACGAAACGTCAAATTGAAACCACTCGTGTTGGTAATGCGTCCCCGAAGCTCCTGGTAGAGTTCCCCGTGCAGTTGTAGAGCTTCCACTACAGCTCATACGACAATATCTTAATACTGCTCCAACTACAGCTCCCTGACACAACTTCTAGTCTAGTTCCCATGCCTCCGTCCTTGGCGTTGGGGGGGGGTCCCCTGCCAAGTGCGGAGCGGTGCATGCGGCGCGGGCGCGTCGCAGGTTGTTTCAGCTTGGAACGGAGCGCGGCGTGATTGTTCGCGTTCGTTGCCTCCTTCTCCTCCTCGCCCGTTTCATCCCTCCCCTTTCCTCCTCCCAGTCCGCTTCCTCTTCCTTCCCATCCTCCTTGCCCTCCTCCTCCTCCTTCCCCTCCTCCTCCTCCTCCTCCTTCTCCTCCTCCTCCTCCTCCTCCTCCTCAGGCTGTGGTGATATGCAAGGCGATGTGGCTGCCCCCGACAAGTTCATTAATTGATTGGCACCTTGAGTTGATCGTTGGGTTCACAATTCTCCGAACGAGACGCACAAAGATTTCTCTCTCAGGCGTTGGAGCCGCTCACACAGAAGAGGGTGGATTTCAGCTACGGGTCCTACGCGGACGACATGTTCCGCATGGGCCTGTGCGAGGACGCGAAGGAGGTTGCCGCTCGGATTTGCGAGTGGGACGACCAGCTGAATGCACGCGTCAGCGCTCCCACAGGAATGCCACAAAATGTTGAGAGAGTGAGAGAGAGAGAGAGAGAGAAAAAAAAAAAAAAAAAAAAAAAAAAAAAAAAAAAAAAAAAAGTGCTCTTTCGCGCCTACGGCAAAGGATCGCACAATCACATGCTACACTTTCACCGCAAGCAAGGCATCACGTTCGAGGGGGCCCCGAAGCTCTGTCTGAGGCACCTTGGAAGCTGCCCGTCTTGGTTGAAACTCTCGGGATGTTCTGGTCCAATAAGGCCCCGCGTAAAATTAAGAAGGTTGTGTTCAACGGCATGGTGGTCAACACAGATCTTGCGGGAGGGGGAACTTGGAGGCTTTCAGATCATGCGGCTGATGGCATTGATGGCTCTATTGCGATGCATGCACGGGTGTGACGGATGGGGGATGGTACTGCCAAGCATCATGAGAGCGAAGGGCAATTCACTTACTGCCGCACCCTTGGCAAGTACGAAGTACGCCGACGATTGAACAGACCGACGACGCGAAGTGCATTACGATATCGACGACTTCGCCGGCTAAACCATGTCGCGGAACATTCGCAAGATCACACAATATTGCTAGGTGTTCTCACAGGCTCAGTAAAAGGTCAGGCGCAGCTGACAGGTCGTGGACGCCCCCATCATCGTAGCAATCCGTGGTTGAAGCAGCGGGGGGAGGACTTGAATGAGTTAGGTCGCATCGATCAGAGTGCTCGTGATGCTCTTCGTCAGAAGGGGCGGCATGCGCTGTTCGACTCGCCGAACACGTTCGACCCCCCAAGAGACCCTGCTGACGTTTGGCACACCTCCTTCTGATCTGCTACCTGCTCTACCTCCGCGTTCCCAGCATCTGTTGAAGTGCGAATTGAAATCCGACGGAGTTCGATGTTCGCACTTTTATCATACTATGAAGCAATTACGCGCACACGAATATCGAGCGCATGGTCAATGTTGTGACTATCGCAAAGCAGCGATAACTAATCAGTGCCCTTGGTGTGATCGTGTACTCTCGACTACGACTAATGCCAAACTACATTGTGTTGACCGGGGTTAACGAAAACCGTGTGCGTGCCCTACGAAGCGAGGTCCGTCTGGTGGTCTTCTCTTGGCTCTAACCACACCCACTACGATAGTGCGCCCCTTTTGCGCGGACTGTACATTCTCTTCCATGACGGAGGCACATCAGCACATTCGTCTACACCTTCAGCCACAAGAACGCGATGGAGGCTCTGGCGGCGCATATCAAGGTGGCGGGGGAGCGACAGCTGGCTGCGGAGCACCGCGCGGCGGGGACGGATGCGCAGTTGCGCAAGCTAGCGGTGGCCACGGCGAAAGCCGGGCGCGGCGATCGACGGCGAGGTTCGACGCATGACAGGCGCGCTCGAGACCGCGGCCCCGGTGTCGGAGGAGCATCCGTACTTGGGCGGGGCGCAGCAGTCGGGGAGGGACTGCGACACGGAGATGAAGGCCTCGAAGGAGGCCGAGGACTTCGAGGGAATGTAGAAGATGATGCCGTCGCACGAGCGCGCGTGGGTGCGTCTCGCGAATCAGGTCGCGAAGGACGCCAGCATCCCAGACGCTCAGAAGCCACTGCTGATCCAGTGCCACGCGGCGACCAAGAGCGCGAGCGGTCAGGCCCTGACGCGCCCGCAGAAAAAGCGCCGTCGGCAGCGGCAGTGGACGGAGGATCGCCGGCGGATCAATCTGATGGTGGCGCCAGAGCTTCGCGGAGCACGGTTAGAAATTATGAACGCCATCGGCAGCAAGCCCCTGACCGAGCTGAAGAGTGGAGCGCCGACCAGGAACCCGAACGCGAGGACTGCGATCGCCGAGTTGGCGACGACGGGCGAGCATCAGGACCTCTCGAAGACGGACTGAGAGCTGCTGGACATGAGCGAGCCTCAGCATTGAGGCCTGGGCCCGTGCTGCTTGCGCCGCTGCCGCCGCCGCCAGCAGTCCACTCCCCGCCTCCCTCGCCCGCTCGCATGCCTCCCTCTACCTCGTCTTCCTCGCCCTCCTCTAACGCCAGAAAGAGCGCTCAGTTTTCGGTGACCCCCAGCGGTCTTAGAGATATTTGAATTGCGTCGGCAGGGATCGAGCGTGAATCAGAGTGCCCCGAAATCTAGAGGAGGTGTTGCCGCGCGCGTCGCGGCCCCCCAGCGGTTCCATGGGCGCCGGCGCTCCACCCTGAACTCTCGGGGGCCCCCTCACAGTCACGTCGGGGGCCAGCGTGGCATGAGGAGGTTTGTCCTTGGGCCCGCTTGCACCTCGCGACCTTCGCGCCCAGCTGAAGACAGATTCACATGCAGATTGATGCGGCCTGCAGGGGACTCAAAAGGCTGGGAATGTTATATAACCCTCCTCCTCCTCCCCCCCCTTCTCCTCCTCCGCCCCCCCCCCCCCCCCCCCCCCCCCATCCTCATCTTCCTCTTCCTGTCCACGGCTCAGCAGGCGATGCTTTGTTCGGTCAATACACCACGTGCTCGCCCTGATCGACACTAAAGGGCCTCAGCCAAGCAGCGCATGGACAGCCATTGCAAGTGGCCTCGGGATACACTTACCGCGGGACCGACGTCTCTCTTCAACATGACCCTCACTCGCACTTGGACCCACAACCAGCTGAGAAGACCCGACGGGACCACTGCGCACCCGCAGGCAGACAGTCAGATGGATACATGGAACGGTATCTGGGAGGGAGCGCCCGTTTCCAGTCCAGCAAGTCGCGCATCCTGCTACGTCTAGCCTGAGGACGAGCAGGGCCCGCCCATCGTCGCCGACAGCTCCACGGTGGATCACTTCATGGACGCAGCTGATTTCGACATCTGCTATGACATCGCACCTTTCCCAGAGGGTGCCCTTCCAGCACCTACATCTGACGACGCCAGGCACGCCGCTTGCACTGTCAGATGGCGAACGGGACTTGGACGCGATGCACGGCCACCGCGCACACGGTCTCTTGTTTCAGGCCTGGCAAGTGCACGAATGTGTTATATGTTCTGGGTTGCTGAGTCGCGGGCGCATAGGCCTTCATCATTGCCGACAGTTCACATCATGTTGTGGGCCAAGCCGTAAGGAGGCTTTCGACCTATCGGCTGAGAATATCTCATGCGCGACGCTGGGCAGCTCAGAATGCCCAGGCTCATTTCGCATTGGGAGCTGGCAAATCTACGCTCGGCTTCGGCACCAGGGCCGTGATGCATGATGAAGCACACCAAGGAGATAGCTCACAGGTGGCTTGAAAGACTTGAGCCGATATCATCAGCAAATGCCCCCATCGAGTCCGCGGGCGCAAAGGGCCATCAAAACAGCTGCCAAGTCGGGCGCCCCCCGCCCCCACCCCACCCCACCCCGCCCCACCCCGCCCCCGCTCTCGAAGCTCTGCCTGGCGATGCACTACGCGCCGAAGCGCATCAAGTGGGGTTCGCCCTCCTCCTACGCGGCGCAAGCAAGCTCAGCGAGGCGTCTTTCCAGGATGCTCGGTGGCAACGCTCCTTCTGCAGCTGGCGACGGCGCTGACATTCGATATAGTTGCGAAGTCCTTTGCCCAGGACGATGTGCACCACTCCGTGGATATCGACGCAGATGGCATCGCCCTGCAGGCGGTGGCCTCGCATCAGCACATCATGCCAGAGCCGGCCCGCAGCGCGCAAAGGCCGGCCGCCGCCCGCCGCGCGCTCGACCTCCCGATCGCACAAGGCAAAGCCAAAGATATGTCCTCGGCGCCAGGGTTTCTGCGACCGCTCGGTGCTGGAGATTCTAGGCGTGGGTGCACGCGGAGGAGGCAAGCTGCAATACTCCTCTATGTGTTAGTGCATGGATAATATGAGGAAGCATCTTCCACGACTTCCACGACTAGCAGTTATGGCAAGAGCGGGGCGCGCCGTGCCTCGGCCCCGCATATCGCTTGCGATGATGCACGGGGTCCAAGTCACAATGGGCCTCTCGCTCGATCGCCCCATCCACGATGGAGATGATTCGGGTTGGATGGCATCGCGCACCGACGGGCGCCCCAACCTGGCGGGCATCTCAGTTGGAGCCGCGGCGGGACCACCATCCAGACATATTCGCAGCGGCGGAGCCTTGCACGCGCGGGCTCACACGGTCTCCGATCGCGCGCTTCCGCGTGATATCCGTCCGCAGGCGTTCGGCACTCAGGTTCGACAGTTGGGTGCTAAGCAAACTTGGAGTGAACTTGCTGGGCCAGCTGGAGCTGTCTGCAATGTATGACATCAACTTCGTCGGCGCGTGCACTCGGCCGCCTCGCGGACGACAGCCAACGGAGTTAAGATCGACTTGAAAGTGGACCCGGACGGGGTTCGCACAGATGCAAGACGGGCATTCCTCAATCTGAACTGGAAAGAATGGGCCAGTCGTCGTGACCACGCCTCAGAGACAACAGCACATTCTCGCGCCCATTGTGGATGTTGGCTCGCCCCACTTCAGCGATAGCTTGCACCTCGCGACCAGGCTCGGACATGGAAGCTGGAGATTCGCGACGGGGCATATCTGGGGAACACATCTTTTGGTGGGAAATGTTTGCAGGCACGCCTTCACAGCATGGCCATGCGGATTATGAGGAGTGCGTGCTCTGCCAAGATTGCAAGGGAACTCCCCATCATCGGCCGCGGTGCTGCCCGAACTTAGCAGGGGAGAGGTCATTGGCAGCCGACCAGGACATCATCGATGATGCTCACGGTGCGCCTGTGAACGACTTCCTAAATACCCGAGCACTTATGCCGCGAGATCAAGTCCCTGCGCCCCCCCCCCCCCCCCCACCGCGCATGGAAGAGATTTGGCACTACGCCCATGGCTGTCATAATGAGATCATTACGGGCGAGGTCTACAAAGATGGAACTGGTCGCACTCATTGGATGGCCAGAAGGAGCGCGAGCAGGTTGGGGCATTGTGCCGATGTGCGATCAACGCTTTTGCGGCATGGCCTTCGGGCCCCTGCCTGGGGGTCAACAACCCGCGTCAAGAGCTGAGGTGCACGCTATGATTAAGACGCCGCGGACTGGCACACTGCCGCTGCGCGCA